AAGCCCCCATCAAATTTAGAGTGATGATTTCTAACATAGTGAAAAAATGTGGAATGGTTCTGAATGAGATATTACCATGTTTTCCTAAAAATAAAATAGGGTCTCCTCAATAAGCACGTGGCCTTATTTTCAGGGAGGTCTTATTATTATTTTTTATTTTTTATTACATAAACCACACATATACACAATAATAAAATAAAAAAACACACAGAGAGGGAGAAAAGAAAGGGAAAATAAGGTGGTGTTACAACAGGAGGAAGGGATGGTAAATAAAGCAACCCAAAGAGTATATTATAACCTATTAAATGAAATAATAAATGTATAAGAATGATAAATGCTAAAACACCTGTAACCAAACGACATGCTGTATGTGATGATGGGTTTTTTTTGTCTCTGTGTGTGTTTTTTTATTTTATTATTGTGTATATGTGTGGTTTATGTAATAAAAAATAAAAAATAAAAAATAATAATAAGACCTCCCTGAAAATAAGGCCACGTGCTTATTGAGGAGACCCTATTTTATTTTTAGGAAAACATGGTAATATCTCATTCAGAACCATTCCACATTTTTTCACTATGTTAGAAATCATCACTCTAAATTTGATGGGGGCTTCTAAATCAGAAAATGTAACCAGAATGAGAGGCAGATGCTACAGTTGTATCTTTGGCTTCATTTTATACAGGTAAGGAACACTACCTTTTAGTTGTATTGAACAGACCGGTCAGTGATAGAATGATAAGTTAGTACAGTAGATAGAATGATAGAATAATAAGTTAGTATGGTAACTCAAGGAACTGTGGTAAATTACTGCTGCTGAAATCCAGCTGCTGTTTGGAGAACAGTTTCTGGCAGCTGTTGATTGTTCCAGAGATTAATCCTGGATCCCATAATATTAGACAGACTTGAAGAACGGTAATGGGTAAGAAAAGAACACTTCCATCATCCTTCTCCCCCTCCCAACCCCTGCCGATGGAGAACGCTGAAGAAGGGGTGGAAGGAAGCTTCTTAAGGTAGAATGTGGAGGCTGAAGCTCTCAGGAAATGGGAGTATTGTTGGGTCTCAGAGGATTAAGTAGGGACAATTAAATAGAGAGTGAAAGCTGTTGCTGGGGAACCTTCACCCAAACTTGGCTAGTGAATGGATTTTAAATTTTCTTGATCAAGGAACATTGATGACTTGTAACTTGTTCCTTGTTTACAATCCAGCTCAAATCTTGCAATGCTCTATATGTAGGGCTGCAATTGGAGATGACATGTAAGCTCCAGTGGGTTAGTTACACTTAATTGCAACTAGACAATCCATGGGTCAATCCAGGCAGGTAGGAATAACAACAATTTTGAAGTCACCTCCTTGGTTGAATTAGGCTCTGTGGCTCAATTCAAACTGTTGATTATTATCTTCAAAGCTCTTCATGGCCCAGAAATATGTTGCTCATGTTAAATGTGCTCTTCTGGTTTGGTCATCTAGAAAGGACTTGATGTCCTTTCCCCACTTCAGAATGCTGAGGAATGGGCCAGGTGATATGCTAGCCCCCTGTTATGAGATGTGTTTCCTTGGAGGTACAACCTCCCTCTAAAGACATTTCAAAAGATAGTCAAAACAGACATTTGGCCCTTAGGTTAGTTGAACTGAATAACAGTATGATGTATTAGATTTTTTATTGATTATTTTTATTACCGGTAGGTGATCTTTAATGTACTATCTTTTCTTGATTTTGTTATATTTTTATCAGAGAATGTTTAGATTAGAGTAGGCTATACATGTTGTAAAATAAGTAAATAAATAATTCTACAATGTACTAAAAGAACCCTTTGGCAGATTCACTGAAAATCAGACAAAACCCTTCAAAACAAGTTGGTAAATCCTATACAGAGAAAGGTTTGGTTTTTAGGTCTTAGTTGCTGCTGTGTGGCTTGAAATTTGTACTCACCATTTCCCCCCTTCATTTACCTTGCAATCTGACACGGAGCAGTGATCAATCATATTTAGGTTGAGGTAGCATCATTCTTGAATCCTATGCTCCCAGCACTGTACTGTAAAACAACTGCTTCATTCCTGGACTGTCCACGCTAAGTAATTAGCTATATTCATAAACTACACTGTCCATAATTTATTTAATGACACTTGATAATTAATCTTATTTGCTAGATTCCTCCAAGATGCTGGCCACTAATTACATGAAGGATTTATACAACACACTAAATTGAAATACAATTAGCTACTTTGTGTTTCAGCATGTTGTATATGCACATCCATTTTCTGAATTCCTGACTTGAGTAGTGATTAGCATGATAGCCACATGTGTTTCATCCCACAAACCTTTGTTCTTATTCATATTAAGGGAAGGCAAATTTCTGCTTATATTTGACAAAATACAACTCTTATTAGAATGAGCTGAAAGAAGTGAAAGAAGAATTATTTTGTATACTCAACAGTCATGTTCTTTTTTTTCTACAGGATTCAATAATTTCAAAGTAGTAAAGATCATTATTAAGATATTACAATAAATACAAGTGAGATAGAGTTGACATTTGTGTGAAAATAGGGTTTGGGATCAGTGGTGGGATTCAAATAAGTTAACAACCGGTTCTCTGCCCTAATGACCAGTTGGGTAGGCATGGCTGAGTGGTCATGTGACTGGGTGGGCATTGCCAACATGACATTATTCACGTTGAGGGGTGCCTTGCCTTGCCCCTCTCCTCCTAGCCTCACCCTAATTAACGCCAAAGTGGAAGAGCCCTAAAGGTGTCAAAGTATGTGGAGGCAATGTGGCTGCTCGGTTGCTTTCACCCTTTGAGATCGTGAATCATGATTGGTCGCTGGGTATTCCCGCACTCTGGTCAAGGCATTGCTTGTACAGTGCACAGTTGTGCCAAACTGATCGCTCATGCCCGCTCAGGTAGCTCAAATCCTCCCCTTCCTCCTCCTCCAGATCAGTTCAGTGTGCATTGCTCATCTTATACATAGGATCGTTTGGAAGAGAGGCTGTGCTTGAAAAGACATGAAGATGGGTCACTCTGTTTTGGTGGAGATAGAGGCGCTGATTGGGCTTATTTCCTAGGATGGAAGCCTTCCATGTTGTGCTTATTTCGAAGGCCAGGCGAGCCGGCCTGCGAGGAGGGCTGGCAGGGGAGTGGCGAAGCATGCTATTCAGCCAACTCACTGAACTGCACAAAAAGTTAGCTACCAGCTCTATCGAATCATTGCAAACTGGCTGAATCACACCATTATTTGGCATATTGATCATGGAGTTTAAGTAAATATTTGATTTCCTAAGTTAGAAACAATGCTCAAAAATGCTAACTTTCTCCCATCAAAGGACTATAGGATGGGATCCAATCTGGATCAGCAACCAGGAACATAGGTTTAGTCTTCCTTGATGTATTGGGACTCATGCTGGAGCCCATCCTCAGGGAACATTTTTCTCACCAGGATGTGTGCCCACAAGTGTGCCTAAGTTTGAAAATTTGGAAGACTAAACTTATTGTCCTGGTGACCAACCCAGACTAGGTCCTGCAACATTATCCTTGGACACATATGCCTTCATTCATGAAATATAGGACACCTTGTTATGAAACATTGCTTTAAGAACAGTTAAAAATGCTTAAAATGCATTCTAAACAAATTGAAGGAAAATTATCTGATCCTGCAGCAATAAATACAAGGATCCGAAACAATTGTGCTGATAATGAAATGGATCTTAGTAAGTATATTGTAGAACAACTTATATTTGGAGTAACTGATGTCAAACAAGGAATGTATACAATAAAAAAATAAAGAATTTATATACGAAACAAATAAATGTTAAAGATGTATTTAAAGATGTATTTAATATTTAAAGGTGTATTTAATAAAGATGCATTTAAAGGTGTAATTAAATATGTATATAAAGGTGTGCTCAAATTGTTGTCAAAATTACCAAGTAAGGTGTATAATGAAGAGTTGTTTGTTGAAATAGTTGATATTACAGTAGTGAAGCTAGGTATTTTATTAGCTAGTAAACTATTTACTATTTATTTTTATTTTTAGTGTGCTTTTATCTGCAATTCTGGCCAATAATAAAAAAAATCAGTAAGAAAATCAGTAATTGGAATATATATTATTTCCAAGCACTATCTGTCCAGACAGAATTGAGCTTTTCAGGTAGATAAACTAATGTTGAACCATTGCATACATTTAGCTGATAATCCACATATTGCCTCTTCTTTAATATTTCCTTATCTGATTGATAATAAAAAACACTCTCAGATTTATAAATCCAGCTTTTAATTGCTGTTCCGTGGAATGTAGAAAAATGAATTTGCAGGAATGAAATAAATACAATAAAACACAATTGTTTTAAAACCTCTTATCTTAAATATATTGCATTATATTCAAGAATTTTCTAATACAAAATTATTGTCCCCAGACATCACAGTTCAATATGTTATTTCTTAAATTTTAGGCACTCACATTTATGAAAATTTTAACAAATCAAAAGCTTCTCCATTTAAAAAAATATACTTTTTTTTCATAAGTTATAGGGAAGGCTGATTATGCATTACATCAATTTGGAATCCCTCATATGGTACAGTATAGTTAAACATTAAATAATCCAGGTAATAAAAGTCATAAACCTTCAGCCTCTCTGTAGCAGGAATTTCTGACAAGTATTTACTTACAACTTCTGAATTGGTTCTTTTGTCTGTGGAGTGTCTGTCTTTGAAATGCGGGAATAAGAGCTCATCTGGAGCATTTATTAGTTTCAAAAAATAATTGGCATCTTTTTCCAGAGTTTCAAATTTGCCAACGAAATTATAATCGATATCGCAAGGATAACAAAGTTTGTTGATTTGCTCCCAATGCGTATCCATACCTAATGGCCGATAGGGATCTAATAGATATTGTATAAATTCTTTAAATTTCACTCCTGAGCCAGTTATCAATGCCTCTTTATCTGCATTAGGTCTGTATTTCTTAATAATTGCCTTCCCAAATACAGGATGGTAATAAATGTTTGGATGTTCAAACTTATCTCGAAAAGCAGACACCAACCTTTCCATTGGATCACGGACAAATATAATTTTGGTATATGTTTTTAAACGCTTATGTATCTCTTTTATATTATAACTATCTAGTTTCTTCAGATGATCTCCATAGTGAACACTATTATGGGAAATATTAGCAGCAGATTTTGCACGACCACCAAGTATCATCAGAATCCTTTTCCAGTTGGAACAGCCCGCTTTAGGAACCTCACAATACAAAAGTTTGTATTTATCTTCCACGTATATTCTAGAGACCATGTGCACAAGGGGAATTTGGGTTCTGTTAATGTATTTTTGGCAAATATCACGAAGAAAAAATTTCCGCCTCTCTTGTATCTCATTGGTAGCTTTCCTGTTATTGTTCCTATTAAAGAATGTATTTAAATAATGCTTGTTGGAGGAAAAATCCATTTCTTTGAATTGTTTAAGAACCTTGTGTGGGTCTTCAGAAAAATTAGTGGTCAAAGAATCTTCTGTTCTATTCTCAAAATAATTGGGCTCCTCATCACCTTCACTCTCAATCAAAGCTTTACTGTCTTGGTGAAAATACTTTCCTGCAATCCAATTTTCTCTTGGTTTTTCAGATTCCCCAGTAGAATAGCTTCCAAATTCCTGTTAAAACAGAAGAAAATGATATAGGGTAAGAGGTACAAAAGCAGTGGTGGATTAAGGCTCACTGGTGCCCTAAGCACTGACAAATCTTGATGCCCCTCCTTTGTACATACTGTACAAATCTTCATTGTTTTTGTTTTCCTTTCTCAACTTTGTGGTGCCCTCTTTGGCCATGGTGCCCTAAGCGTGTGCTTAGTCTGCTTAACAGCAGATGGACAAAACACCACTGGACAAAAATGATATATTTTGTATTGGTTTATTTCAAAAGACATTTCTAACAAAAATGGGGAAGGAGGGTGAGAGAACATTTTTTCCAATTTCAACACTTTCAGATACATTAATGATATTCTGTGCCTTCTTAATAATTACCAAAGCATTTTATCTAATGTTGAGGTTTTATTTTTTCTGGGTGTACCAGAAATTGAATTAAATTTAATGTTTTTTTTTCCAATATGTAACAAGTTGTATGAAAATATAAAAGAAGGACTGTTCAAATATTTGAGGATAATTATCTCTACCAAAATATTTTCTTTGTTAGATCAGAATATTTAAAACTGTATAGCATAAATTAGTGATTATATTAACAAATGGCTGAAAATATGTACAAACCTATCATAAAGGATTAAAATAATTTCATGTATCAATTTATGGTTAATTTGTCATCAAAGGTATACTGAGCATTATATTAATTAATTAATATTAATAATTCCTTTATCTAATCCTTGCTTGCGGTAAAAATACAGGTAGTCCTCAATGGTCATAAAGCAGATCAGCAAGTTTTTGCAACATTTCTTGCAGTAATGGTGAAGCAAATGCCCTGTCATAAACCAACCACCAGCGTCGCTAAGCAAACACCACAGTTGTTAAGTATTGGGATGTTTTTGCTGAAAACCAGAAGTAAAAGAACGTTGGTCCTTACCTGAATATTTCTTTTATATAGATTGGTGGGAGGGGCTACAGCTGGGTTTAGTCACAGCCTGATTGGTCCAAAGACTGAGGGAAACTTCTTAAAGTATCCTTCCTTCCCTATTGGCTCCCAGTTTCCTCGAGGTCGAATGGAGAAAGCTGCAAAACCACAATGCAAGAAGGACAAACAACAGACCCCCCCGACCACCCCTCACCTGCTCTAACAGCTACACTAGGGCAGGGTGTAGCCCCTCCCACCAATCTACATAAAAGAAACATTCAGATAAGGACCAACTTTCTTTTTCGTGTAGATATGGTGGGAGGGGCTACAGCTGGGACGTACCCAAGCTAGGTCCCAGGGTGGGATGTTGACTCGGGGGGGAGGTTCGCATCCATCATGATATGATCCGGCTCCCAAATGTCGGATCTGTGTCACAGGCCGGAGATAACCACCACCTTAGGGACCAGCAAAAGCTTGATGATAGGGTGACTGTCCGCAGCGAGTTGCTCATGCGCTGGTGTTGATAGGGGATGAGTGTCCATTGGAGTGGCCGAGAGTGAAGACGGGCCCAGGGCACTATCCCTATGCATGACACCATCTTGTCCAGTAAGCAGGCCAAGGTCAGGATGGAAACTGACTGACTTGCGCGGATGTGACATGTTAAGGCTTGAAGATTTGTGAGGTGTTCTGAAAAAAGTCGAACAAGTCCCGCTACAGAGTCTATTACTGTACCCAAATGAAGGATTTTCGTCATGGATGAAAGATGGCTTTTGGGAAAGTTGACAAAGAACCCCAGGGACTGTAACATCTGAATTGTCAGGTTCAGGTCATGAATTGCCTGTGTACGTGATTGGGCCTGAACGAGCATGTCATCTAGGTAGCATTGGAGTCTCACTGGGTGAGATCGCAAGTGAACCACCAATGCTGCCAGGACCTTCGTGAACGTGCGTGAGGCAGAGGCCAGACCGAATAGGAGAGCCCTATACTGGAGGTGGTGCCCCTTATGGGAGAAACGGAGGAATCTGTGATGGGCAGGTAGGATTGGAATGTGCAGATATGCTTCCGTCAAATCTACAGATGCCATGAAGTCGCTCCGCTGGATCACCAGGAGTATGGACCTGAGAGATGACATTTTGAAGTGCCGGTAAACCAGGTAAGAGTTGAGGCGCTTCAGGTCCAAAATTGCCCTCCATCCCCCCGAGCTCTTCAGGACAACGAATAGGTTGGAGTATAGACCCAACCCATACTCCTTCCTCAGGACTGGTTCTACCACCCGAATGTCCAGCAGGTGTTGGATGGCCAGACTCATTAGATGGCACTGTTCCAGATCCCTGGATGGAGGGAAGGTCCTGAAGACCATTGGAGGGAGAGAAATTCTAGATGGAGGCCGTTCCTGATGGTAGACCTGACCCAAGCATCTGAGGTTATCTGGTTCCACTGATCCGCGAAGGACACTAGGTGGCTGCCTATGGTCTGACTTGGGTTGGAGTCATTTCCCGCTGTGGAAGGGGCGGCCACGCCCCCCCCCCCCAAGAAAGGGCTGCTTGGACTGACCCTGGTACCTTCCCCTGTCCTGATAAAAGGGACGGTGACTCTGTCTGTCGGACCTATAAGGGAAGTACCACTGTTGGCGATAGTCCGGATCAGGTGGTCTGTAAGAAGAAGGTCTACGGTAAAGAGCCGGACGGGATTCCGGCTTCTTGGTGTTAGAGGGTAGGACCTTCTTCTTATCTTTGTTCTCAATGAGAATCGGATCACGCGATTCCCCGAAGAGATTGAGACCAGTGTAAGGTGCCTCTGTTAAATTCCATTTGGACTTGTTGTCCATTTGCCAGTTGCGAAGCCACAAAAGACGTCTGGACATTACTGAGGTGGACAATGCCTGGGATGCAAACTTAATAGAGTCTAGAGTGGCATCCACAGAGAACTGCGTGGCAGAAATAATTTTGGTGAGGTCTTGGTGAAGATGCTCATCCTGAATCGGGATGCAGTCCTGTAATTGGCGGAGCCACATAACGGTGGTGCAATTAAAATAGGAAGCAGCAGCGGCCAATTTGATAGCTGTACTATGTCTTCCCTTATAAAAACGTAGAATGCATAGACTTTATTAAATGTTGTGACTCAGCAGATGTCTGCTGTGAGTCTTTTCGGGATACAAGATTCATTATGCAGCTGGGGCTTGTTAGAGGCA